TTAGATTATTTTCTGTACCTATATATACAGATATACTTATGCAGGCTCTCATGGATCTATCATCTGGTAATTTGATAACCTTGGAATTTCTAAATTCCTCAGTACTTAAGGAATATGGAGTCTGTAACTCTGCCATTGCATGCATACTTGCTTATATGTTATCTTGAATTTATTTCTTCCTATTTCATATATGTGTGTCTTGTCTCCCCTAGGAAGAATTATAAGTTTCCAAAGTATAAGAATCATGTCTTATACTTTCTTTTTTTTTTCTTATACTTTCTTAAACCCATCTATAGGATTAATAATTACTTATGGATTAATTTTTCCTTTCTCCTATAAGGGGCAAAGCAGAATGGCAAAGCAGCTGAAGAGTTGTTAGTAGCATGCCTGCTTTTTCATTTCCTAGTGGAGAGAGAATATGGAACTTTGCAGAGAAGTGAAAAATTAAGTGAGAGGGTGCTTAGAGTGTCCTTTGACAAAGAGGTATACTTCTTAAATGTAGCATATTTTGAAGTTACTAAAAGAGTGGAAAATGGGGCATAAATTTGGAAATGCATAAAATAATGTTTTAAAATGAGAATTTTAGTGATAAAATTTCCTTTTATTTTAAACGTGATTTTCTGATATATTTTAATATTTTAATATTAGGACTCGCTGATTCTTGAGAAGAGTCAAAACTGGAGTTCTCAAAAAATGGACCACATTCTGATTTGCTGTGTTTGTCTTGGAGATAATAGTGAGGATGCTGATGAAATAATTCAGTGTGACAATTGTGGCATTACAGTCCATGAAGGTAATTTTGCTTTGTTTTGTCTCCTTTTAGAAATGGCTGGTTCATATTATGTTTAAATAAATAAAATCAGCTGTTTCACATTTGTTCTATTTAAGGCTTTTCTGTAATATTTAATGGTGTTTCAACTGAAATAATAAATAACTGAATCCTCACAACTGCGATGGGTGCGATATGGTCATCTTAACTTGAAATACATTTTTAAATAATTAAGGTAGAAATATTATTATATGTAAATCTAGTTTTTAAATAAAATTCAGAAGTAGGAATAAGTTTAGTGTGTTAGTCCAACAGAAAGTATTCTTAGAAAACTTACATTCTAAGTCTATTGATTTTTTTACAGTTTCTTTTTTCATAGTTATACTTTTTAATTTTGAATTTGGATGAATTTGTAGAGGTCATCTGAAAAGGAGCTGCTCTAATAAATTGAAAATATTCTTTTCCCTATTATGATTTTTAAACCTTTTTGTTATTTTTTTTCTTAAATATTTTGACAAAATTTCCCACTTATAGAAAAGTTACAAGAATAATACAAAGGCTTCTCATATAGTCTTCACTCAGCTTTCCCAAATGGTAACATTTTACTATATTTGTTTTATCTTCTCTGTCCCATAACAATCTTTTCCTCTCTATGAAAGTAAACTGTAGACATAATGTTCCCCTTTACCCCTATATACTTTAGTGTGTGTTTCTTAAGAACAAGGGCATTCTCTTACATAACCATGTAATTATCAAAGTGTTAAAATCAGCATTGATGGAATACTCTTATCTAATCTACAGACTGTATTCAGATTTTGTCATTACTAGCAAAATAAAATCCAGGATCATGTATTGTATTTGGTTGTCATGTCTGTTTAGTTACCTTTAATCTGAAATAGTTCCTGAGTCTTTGTGTTTCATGCCATTGACATATTTGAAGAATATAGGTCAGTTTTTTTAAAATAAAATGT